AGTACTTGTATGTTTTTGCTGACGCATCCTGTCTTTTCTTCGGCAACTAAAGTCCATTCTAATAGCATTTCCTCGTCTCCCTACTTCGTGTTTCTTTCCAGAAAATCTCCCTATACAGCAGGGAGTCGTTTACATAATACGAATCCCTGCTATACATCTATGTACGTTATAATTATTATGCCATCGGCCTACATGCGAATCCCGGGCTGGTCGACAGGCGGCCCAGCCAGCCTGCCAGTGGGATCTCGGCCTCGCACACAAATCCACACAAGATGCTACTGCACTATCGGCCTGAATGCATTCCCCCATACACTTCGTATATATACTCATTCTCTTGATGGTACCGTACTCTTGATGGTACGGGACAGGTATGGGATAGCGCCGGGCATGCTGATGGCACACACAAACAAATAATATTGTGGCCAGCTTTCTGTGCTCGTACGGTACGGTACGGGACAGATACGGGATAGCGCCAAGTGTGACACAAACAAACAAACAAACACCAAATTAAAGCTGTGTGGACCCTGGCTAGCGCCAGACGTTACTGAAGTAACGTCTTCTGCATAGCTACGGGAATAAAACATCTTTGTTGCTGTGCCAGGTCTACTACAGTACTATACCGGCCAGGTAACTGTTATTAATTACTCAGTTGAACCCTGCGTAGATTTCAAGCTGGTCTGGAAAATAGTGTGTTCGACAGCATTGTGATAATTATTGTTAGCTTTCATGCGAATTCCATGCTGTGAGTACCGGAGCTGTAAGTAACCACTGCAAGTGATATGCCCAGCCAAGGGGAATCACTGGTCCACGTCTTATGAATTCTCAAAATGTGCCGACCATTCAATTAATTGTGCTCGTCTCATACACATGTCTCATTCTTCATCACCACAGTCCTACACTGCAATCGTCGGTAACATCTCTCCAAATACTTTGGGGCTTCATACGGGAGTATAACTATAAAAGGAGAAAACTTCTTGAAGAAATTAAAGGTCAAAATCATGGAAAAATATGTATGAAGATTAAAGTTAAAGGTGGTGGTAAAGAAGGAGATTGAGACAGGATTGCATGAGAGCCTCCGCATAGAGCGGGTCATATTTAGAAAAGCGATCCTGTCAGCTTTTCTACTATTGTGTTCACATGGCAGAAAAAACGACATCGCTATGCTACGTACGTTTCTACGTAAGGTACTCGGTATTTCACTTAGGCTACTTAAGTTTCTACGTAAGGTGCTAGGTATTAATCTAGCCGCGTGCTGTGCACGTGCACGACAGACATTGTGTTGCAGTGCATGCAGTCCGTTTTCGGATGTGCATGCGCGAGGAACTTTACTTACTTCTTTGGAACTGCTTCTTGCATGAGCTGTTTCGGATATTTCGTCTCCTGGCTTATTTCGCTTCGGATCTGCTTAGACCTCATTTCACGGAATATTACTCAATGACAGGTGAGTTGAACAGTTCCCTTTGATTCTTTTGGTTGTGTTGACTCTTTCATTTACGAAAAGTGTGCTCATTTTAGGTGGAATACAAAAAATAATGGAAACGCTGACAGGATCCCTTTTCCAAATTTAGCTTTTCTGCTGTTGAGGCCTCCTTTTACGGAATACTCAATGACAGGTGATCTCGGAGTTGACCAGTTTCCTTCGATTCATTTGCTTATGCTCACCCTTTCATTTACGGAAACGTGTGCTGATTTTATTCGGATTTAGATCCATTCGTATCTCTTTGCCCTTGCCAACAGTGTGCAAAGAACGCGAGTTCAACTTCTTGACGGTAAGGCTTATGTTGTATGTTGCTGCTGAGGCTTAGATGTGTTGTCGAAATACTCATGTTCGTTGTTCATTGGCACGTTACAAGTAAGGCACTGGTCATGATTGCTTCCGGCATTCCGTGCTCCGATCATAGGGTACAATCTGAATTTTGCAGTGGCATAGCATCGTTGGCAGTTCCCAATCTGGGGGGAAAGCATTGGCCGAGTATGCAAAATAAATTCGCATATCAGGGAAAATCTCCATATAATTTTGACATGGAGAGGTTCATGCATTCAGTGACTTGTTTGCTTCATACGAAACAAACCAATGGGTGCAGTCTCGTCTCTTGAAAATCTCGTACGATTGGATTTGTTTACTCGAGTCTGGGCTGTTTGATTTGTAAGTAGCGCCTGGATTGTACTGCCCCTAAATATAGTTGCGTGCCAGAAAAGCAAGAATTACGATCGGCACTCTGTTTGTAGTACCTTCAAGAATGTGCTGTACATGTATCGTATTTTCGCTGTTGTTGTTTCAGTTGCCGTCATGCTCCTAAAGAAAGGTTCAGTGACTCATTTGTTTCATACAAGACGAGTCAATGGTTTGGTCTGACTTAGAGTATTTTGCTGTAGAATAAATATATTCGTGTCTCTTTTGGAAAAATAATTGCATTCACTGGTTATAAAATAGGGTTAAAACAAACTCACGGAACAAATACCATCGGTCCCTTGATGTTCGTCCTAAAGATGTTTGACTGGATATCATTCATACTTACCAAAGACACGTAACATTTTATTATCATGTTTATCTCTCAGTACCTCCAGCCATATATCCTTGCCACTTATATCCTCAAGATCAGTGAAGTTGTTGGTGTCGGACTCAACAATGTATTTGTGTACATTTTAATACATGTTTATTGTTCCTACTTTGCTGTGTTGTTTTAGACAATCGTGTACTTGTTACACTTTGAAGCCATTGAACCACTTCCAAAAGTTTTATCGACATCAACAGGATAACGATTTCAGTACAATATGATGCAGGATGACGTTATCACGACAACCCATGACTACCATAAACACGGTATCAACAAAAACATCTGCGGCACGCACCTGGTTACAATTCTCAAGTAAATGTGATTTAGGGTGTGGAAATCTGAATTTTCTGAAAGACAAGACAATCTTATGAAAGTCATGAAATTCTGCCACAGCAACATCCACAGAATGACCTGCGTATAAAAAAAAGTATCACCGCCACTACCCATATGATTCCCCTGCAGAAGAACATGAATATGCAAGACTAGTGCCATTTTCTGCAAGAAAAGGCGCGCACATCAATGCGTATAATACGGTATTGAATTTGATATGATGCACATGTAGAGGCGCTAGGCCATCATTTAGGGCATTCCATTGGTGACATAATTATTATAATAATATCAAGAGTGCATAAACATTTGTTTGTGGACTCTTGATAATAACCTTAGCCAAAAAAAAAGAAATTATAATATAGCTATGAATAGGATGAAGGCCGCAGACATCACGCAACTACGTTACTTTTTTGACATGTATTACTGTGTATTTTATAACAAAAATATTATTGAAAACCCAGAATCGATTTTCTCGTTCCAATCAAAGAAATTATAGCAATAAAAACTGCTTTATGGCAGTTTTCTAAAAAAGGTTATTGTGTTCTAGTCCATGGACCCCGTCTAAAAAGTAAGAAACTAACGAAATGTGATAGCCGAAAATTAAAATTTCACACAAAACCTCACAAAAATCACAACACTTGAGGATCTTAGTATAAAAAAATACTGCTTTCAACAATTGTTTAGTCTGATACTTCACGGGTGACTTGTACTGCGCCAACAAGCATGAATTGGAAAGTGGACCACGAGGGGAAAGGTCTACTCGCTTTTCATCCTGTGTGTGATTATTGTGAGGTTTTGTGTGAAATTTTAATTTTCGGCTATCGCATTTCGTTAATTTCTTACTTTTTAGACGGGGTCCAAGGACTAGAACACAATACCCATTTTTAGAAAACTGCCATAAAGCAGTTTTTATTGCTATAATTAGGTTTGTGACATCTCACAAGACTATCACGTTCATCCTAGGGTACCCTGTAAGAAGGCCTTAGGCCTGTGGGGATTGCCCTATCAAAATTTTGATAATAATAATAATAATAATTCTGCGAACGTGATATGTGATCATGATTATTTTTATAACGATAATATGAATATGGTTGAAACGCAAAGGAACAATAAAAAAATGCGAAGCAGTTCCGATTCTAAACCCAAGCCGGTGTCCATCCAAGCGTCACGCAGGTTTTGTTGATCAGCTGAAAGCGGAATCCACATCTTCTCTATGGAAAAGAATATCTTTCAGGATGAAAGACAAGAGATTATGTCTGGAAGATGTGTTGCGAAACATGGTACCAAATACAATCAGAACACATGCAGACGTGCATACCGATTTTTTATACTGGTTTTGTATGTTTAAAGCAAATTGAAGATCAGAAAAAAATTGAGAAAAACGAGAATATTACAAAAGTGTGTAGTAGATGTATAGGTGGTGGATAACGTTTTCAGGTGGGTTTCGTTGCACTCCCCCTAGCGAAGGCCTCGAATAGGGAAAACAAAATTAATATCAATGTACTGCAATAGCCAGACTGATGGACAACATAATGTAATACTTCAAAGCATAATGGACTGCTATCCTGAATACAAATTGAATGCTGCAAGTACATAGGCTGGTGGTGGCAACGTGGAGCAATATGTTACCATGCACGGCAGGCATAATATTTACCGGTATACAGTTGATTGAACCAACTTACAGCGAAATGCTAACCACCCAGCTTTGCTGTAAACTTTGAGTGGGAGTATGGTTGGGAGACCTGACGTTCCTGATAAGAAAAGGACGTTTATATCAGATTCCCTTTGCGGCTGACTCAACCTGATGCTGTGATCTGCATAACATTGGATAACATATCCTGTTTGTTTTGAGAGAACTGGTAGCTTAAAAGAAGTGCTGTTTTCAATTCAATTCAATATAGAGCTAGAGGAAATGAGCATTCGATTGATAATAACATGTGAATTGCTATTGTTATAATCAAGTCAAATTTATCTCGTCAGGTGGTTTGTCATTCTTTCCGATTTTGCTACGATCCATTACAAATTGGGGGTGTCATATTCTCCTCTTGCATAGTACGGTTCATCACCAAGCTTCGGTGGGCTCCTTACAGGTTCTTTGTCTGATTCTGCTTTTTATGCTGTGGCAGTTCTGTTAGTAGACTGTGTGCGCAAGTTTCGTGGCACAACCTCCGCATAACTGTCTCTTCGAAGGGTAATGTCCAGTCGATCATACTGTTGTTGTTCGCCAACACCATCATCCAGCTGTTGTTGTTCACCTCCTTGTGGAACTTGAGTAGAGGGCTTCGGCTTCGCATCGCTCTTCCCGTCATGTAGCCTGTAGCTCCTTATCATTGTGTCATAAGTAGTATCTTCCGATAAGACCTGGTTCCCATCCACATACTGCACATCTACATCTGAGTATCCGCTTTGGCTGCTGCTCACGTTAAACCTTACTGGTATATCCTCCGCCACACCATACTGCGGGTTTTCGCACGCTAGGGTACGTACTTCAATGGGGACAGGTACGCCCCCGGATGAGTCACTAGAAACATGGAGCACTGATGAAATGTGCTTTACCTTGTAATATAACAGCACAGATAGTATGATCCCGAGCAATAGTAACGCTCCTACACCAGTTCCAATCATCCACATATAGCTCTTTTCTGTCGGCCTAAGGTGGTGGGTACTTGCAGCCTTCATAGTGACTGTTGATTGTGGTGTGACACTAGGACCTGATGACCCTCCAATTGCTTCGTCATTATCAGCAGTAGTGGGTTGGCCTTGTGCTGGATTTGATGAGGTCCGAAATGTAACTAGAAAACAGAAACATTAAAAAGACAAGTCCATAGAACACAAACAGCAGTAGCACAAGCGACATCTAAAATTGTACCGTTACCCACGATGTGCTGAATTCAGTCAACGTCAGGTATTACATGCACACAAAGCCTCTGTAACGAGAAAAGGTTTGCGGAGTGGAAGGTTCGATGGACTTCTCGTGTTCTCTGTATGGCAGTCGTCAGTCGGTCAAGTGTCAAGTCGTCGGCGGAATAGCGCGAGCTCCAGTGTGGGACCAAACCCATTCCTAAAGAAAATAACGCAATGAATTTATTATTTCGCAATCTAGCAACACATTCTCATGCAAAGACGCGAATCCGCACAACTAAGTAGACAATTCCGTTCAACTATGAAACGTTTTCTTTGCCTTATATGCAGGATAACAGGTGAAGAAGAGGTTGGTGCGACTTCGGCGATAGTAGGGAAAGAGTGTGTTGCAAGTTGACGGTTCGATGGACTTCTCGTGTTCCTCGAGCTCCCATGTAGGGAGTAACCCACTCTTCCCCTACTATCGCCGAGTTCGCACCAAAATCTACCTCACATTGTTGTCCCCAGCGTGGGCTTGCGAATTACATGGTTTGGAGGCAGCAACGCTGTGAATTGCTAATGGTCCTCAGCGCTTGTTCAGCACATCCATGAGCAACACTGAGGCACGCAGCTCTTTGGTGTTGAAGAGGTGTTTGTCGCGCTGGAAACGGAGTGTCTCTGTACGTTTGCATCCCTGGGGATGTTAGCGTCGTGAGAACACTATAATCATAAGTGGTGCTCTTCAGGCACAATCTTCCTCAGCCTAATCCAGCTCAACTGATGAGGGGTGAATTCCCCGAAACATTGTGTATTGAGCAGGGAGTGATGCGTTCTTGCAGGTTTGCCGAGTGAACAATTCGTTGGATTTATCATTTGCTCTGAATGGCAGTTGTGAGTCAGTCAGGTGAGAATTCAAATCGTGGGGAAAACCGCGAGCTCCTATGTAGGGAGCACCGCACTTTTCCCCTATCTTAACGATAGTACTGGGAGTGTTGGAAATTTGGAAAAACACGTAACTATACTGAGTTTCCAAAAAAGAAAGAAAGATAAAAGTCCACACTTGGACAGAGGTGATAACATGAATGATTAAAGTGATATAACATCAAAACCAGAAGCTGCAAGTTATATACAAACACATTGAACACATCAGAAAACACTGGGCACACTTTCAACAGGTGTGGAAGCAATCTTATCCATTTTTTCCGCTCGAAGAATGTGAAAATCGGTATGTAGGTGGAACCCTTCCGCACCTGGGCTCACGCATCTGTCAACATGTGACTTATGTTTTGTCCCTGTTGACGTTCGTGGTATTCGTCCTCGTCGTGGCCTCCTCCAAAATATGATTCGTAGTCTGATGCCGGAACGCCTTTGTCTGCGTCCAGGGTAGATGTACGCATGCGCGCCTCCGGCCAGACGGGCGGGGAGCTTGGTCCATCTCCGACTAGCGTGAGGAAGCGAGGGAGACCGTCCCGAAAACCACCCAATGTGACACTGGAGCTTACAGACATCGGAAGATTTACCAGAAGCAACGTGAAGAGACCAAGTACTGGAGATTTGAATCCGTCGATATTGGACGTGACAACAACGATCGACAAGAGGAAACGACGAAGACCAAGCAGTCCATCAAAATCGACCATGGATTCTGCGGACGTTGGAGGTGTCAAACCGATCAGAGAAACAAACAAGCCCAGCAGGGGAGAATAAGGGCAAGCGTCGAAGTTGACGGAGTTAGGAGATCGGATATCGTCCTGCAAGCGTCATTTGTCGGGCAGTGCTAGTTGTCGCAAGTTGTGTAGTGATCATATCTTTTCTATTCTAACTCGTGGAAGGTCTAAGTTACATCTTGCTGTGCTGGAAGCTCTGTATATTCGTAAATTAGATCCAGAAATATGGTTACAGAAGGAGAATATTTTATCGTTGCAGTTCTTTGATCAAATTAAGTGTGTCCTTCGTGTAAGAGTTCACGTTGTAGGACTGTTCTTGTCTATGTGTAAGGTTTGTGGTATCTATGGGTCATTGCCGATCTATTATATTCCTTACCGCTAGACCTGGTCACCCGCCCGTAGGTAGACATGGCAGTCCCTTGGGTAAGCTCCGATGGCAATATGGTCGCTGGGGGAATAGACACAGAAGACACGGGCGAGAAAGTTTTCAGTTTAGTAGTTTGGAAATCCTCCGTGCGCATTCCTTCCGATGATGACAATGTGGTTGGAGAGAGTGAAGAGGAAACCGTAGATGAGAGAGTGGTCTCTATTGCCGGTCGAGCGCCTTGCGATGGTGATGTGTCGGTTGAAGACGCAACTGCATGTCAAAAACAAGTAACAAAAAAACAGAAATGCCTCACATGTATAGTATGTACAAGATGGGGACTAGGACGGATCCATTGCGCCACCCCTCCACTGCATGCGACGTATTCTGAGCAATTGCCACTCACAACTACGTGTTGAGGCCACTCACTCTGGTAACAAGTGAACCATAATTGGACAGTACCGCCGACCCCAATGTAGGATAGCTCATGTGCCAAGATGGTGTGTTTGACAAAGTCAAGAGCTTTCGACATGTCCACCAATATCACACCAGTGCATTTGCGGTGTGATATTCGTGGATTCGTTGGGCTGATTAGTGGAGTGGATACGGAACAGCTGTTTTCCCATCCACCATTGCACGTAGTGAGGAATATGCTGGGTATAATGCGGTCGAGACTTTAGGTTCTGCCGAGCATCGTCTTGACCTGGTTTCTAAACCATCGGAGAAATCATGTGGTTTGCGCTGTGCTCCTTAGGCCTCTCGTATTTGAATTTAGTTCGGGATCCACATAAAGATGGTGTTGTTTGTCCTGTCACTCAATCACATCCAAGTGCAATGTTCTTGGTCGAGTTGAGAAGCAAGCAAATAATGGCTATGGCAAACGCGAGTGTGGCTTGAGAGCATTGTAGGCAAGGTTCTGCTAAGGATGAATATGTGCTGAATATGTGTCCAGAAGGATCTCGGTGACTCAAGGTGATCATGAAGCCTCATTTACGGACAAAAGAAACACAAACTATTATTGTTGTCCCCAGCGCGGGCTTGCAAATCAGATGGTTTGGAGTCAACAGCGTTGTGAAGGACCAGCGGTCCTCGGCGCTTGTTTTGCACTTGCATTAGCGACACTAACTAACGCTGCTATTTGGTGTTCACGAGGTGTTTGTCGCGCTGGAAACGGAGCGCCTCTGTAAGTTTGTTTCCCTGGTGATGTTTGTGGCTGGAGAGCACTAGATAAGTGGTGCTCTTCGGGTACAATCTTCTTTAGCCTAATCAAGCGCAACTGATGAGGGGTGGATTCCCCGAAATACTGAGTATTGAGCAGGGAGTGGTGCTTTTTGCATGTTTTCCGAGTGGACGGTTCGATGGACTTCTCCCGTGCTCTAGATGGCAGTTGTGAGTCAGTCCAGTGAGAATTATAGTCGGCAGAAAAACCGCAAGGTCCCATGTCGGGAGCAACACGCAATTCCCCAAAAACTTACGATGGATGAAAATGCAATGCAATTGCAAACCCAGAAAGCCAGAAAAGGAAATAAATGTACCCAAAAGACCCCAAAAATGTAACCCACACACTTCGCCTACAAACTAGCACCCAAAAGAAAAACATTGTGTGATTAACACTATTCATGTTATGTACTTGTAGCACCACTCACTCCAAAGCTCCAGCAGCACCTAATACAGGTTAGAATCCACCTACAATCATATTAACTAAGACAAACAACACCTCACATATGGCCTTCTACAACAGCCAACTTTCGGAGTGCATTGACTGGACGGTGGTATGCCTAGCCGGAGCCGCGGATGCACATTATAGCAGCTCTTAGCAGTGCAAATGCTAACCGAGTCCGGGTATAGCACATCATTTTTTTATACTTCTTGTTGTCGTTGTTAGCCAGCATACCGCAGAAGCGCTTGAGAAATCGGCTGGTTTCTCCCGACGTACATCCGGTCGTCGAGAAGATGAGGGGAGTGAAGGTCCCATGAACGACATGTATCATACGCCCAGCGTATTCCAACTTATTTCTCCGTTTGTGCTCGAGGAGAAGGGGATCAACTGGCTTCTTTGCATATGACGCCTCGTCCAGATGAAAAAAACCTGAACATCCACAAATGCGTCCTGGCCTTTTTGTAGTAATACATTGACTTGTTGAACCATTGAGGACGGCCGAATGCATAGTTGCCTGTGGAGCATATAACATAACTTTACAGTCTCCTAAAATACGTATCCTGTCCGACGGCAAAAGAGGCTGCAGATTTAGTTTTTCTGCGCGTCGACGGGATGTCTGTCCTGACGTATCCTGGGACCGGCGCTAACTCTGCTGATCATGGGCGCTCTGGAGTCGACGGGATGTCTGTTCTTACGTTTCCTGGGTCCGGCGCGGACTCTGCCGATCACGGGCGTTCTGGAGTCAATGGGATCTCTCTTCCGACGTTTCCTTTGACCCGCGCTGAATCGCTCGTTCAGGCTTATTTTGGAGACGACGTGGTCTCTCTTCCTGTAACAGATTCACTGTTACTACTGACACTAGGAATAGGATACACTTATCACCTGCTATAATCACGCTGCTCCTGTTAGGTGTTGTGTCCATCATTGCTTGTTCATGCTTGTTCATTCTTGTTCATTATGGAAAGGATCATTGCTTATTCCAAGAATGACTACTGAAGTTAGTTGGACTGTTACACTGGTAGCAAGAGGATGGTTTTTCTTTTCGTCATGTTCGGGCTATGCGCAGTGGCCGCATTAGTCGCCTACGGTATATTCGACATTCAGAAGCGTCTGAATCACCTTATCGCACTCGGTCAGTGCGATGGATCAGATCAAACGCCAAGACGTGCTCAAGCTCCCAGCGGAGAGAGGCCCTGCATGCGCCATGTTAAGTCTCCGCCTGTGTTTTGTGGAGATACAAGAGAGTTCAAGGAGTGGGCCTTCGCCATCGAACTCGCCATGAAGTCCCTGCAGCTGGACAACGCGGAGGAGCGCTTGAGCTACGCGGCGAGTTTTCTGGAGGGCAACGCTCGTCTTTGGTTTATCGCCTCTCAGGAGGCAAACACGCTGTTTTCCGACTGGCCAGACCTGAAGAGCAAGCTGGGAGAAGTGTTTATGACAGGGAACAGGCGCGCATCGACTTATTCGCTCTTCACCAAGATGAGACTCTTGACGAATACATCAACAAATTTTCGCGGCTTAGCTTACAAGTTCCCGAGCTTGATGACCACTCCAGAGCTATCTTGTTCACGCGTGGGCTGGCTCAGGGCCTAAGCGGTGAGGTACTTAGGGAGCATCCGCAACATTTGGCCCAAGCCATACGAGCTGCGGTCTCAGCAGACCAGTCGATGCGGCTAGCCCAAGCAAGCTACGCCAAGGCAGTGCGCGCACCAGGGCATCAGAGGCGCCAGCCTGGACCCTGGTCAAGCCAACCAACACCATCCGGTGGGAGAGAAACCAGGGAGCCAGAGGGTCGTTCAAGGCTGTGTTTCACCTGCAGGAAACCCGGCCATATTGCCAGATTCTGTCCAGAAGGAGGGAGGAACGCCACAAGCAAGCCTTCTTTAAACGATGGACGCCAGTAAGGAAAGGAGTGCGACTACTGGCGAACACGAGAGCACCCAGGAATAGGCCACCAATCAAAGTTCAGAACAAATTCAGCCCCTTAGCAAATGAGGAACCACGCCTCGAGGAGACCGAAATTCAAGCCTCGCCTGTCAAGCGTTCGTCACCTGATACTGTTGGCCGGCCTAATGAAGTAACCGCCAGCACAGGGAGCATTTCCGCCGACAACGAACACGACCTAATGCGCGTCCAGGGCAAGATAAATGGACGTCGCGTTACCATGCTACTGGATTCTGGGTCAACCCACGACTTCATTTCAACTCACCTTGTCAAGAAGCACAACATCTCCACAACAACCGGTAGCGACGTCCTGAACGTCACACTTGCTGATGGATCGGTCCGCTCATAGCCTATTACGAAAACGGACAGCTTGAAGACCGTAGTCGGCGACTTTAGCGAGCACCAACAGTTCCTAGTATTCCCTATGACGCGGTATGACGTGATCCTCGGCAAACCATGGCTGACCCGGACGAACCCACAGATCAATTTTCGTACCAATGAAATCATGCTGGAGGGTGGGTCCATCATCTGGCAACCGAGTGAAAGTGATGGCACGGACAAATCCAACCCACCGATCGAGACGTTCCTCATCTCAGGGAAGCAGCTAGACAGCAATAAATACCCCATTCGGTCACTTTCAGTTCACAGTGATGGGTTTCGGCCTAATAAATGCCCCGGCAACATTCCAAACCTTGATGAACAGTGTCCTCCAGCCATACCTGAGTAAATTCGTTGTGGTGTTTCTAGACGATATCCTCATATTCAGCAAATCATGGGAGGAGCACCTCGATCATGTCAGAACCATCTTAAACGCCCTCAGGAGGAATGAGCTATATTGCAAACCGTCTAAATGTGAATTCGGCCGGACAGACGTTCTGTTTCTTGGGCACCGGATAGACGGCCAATGCATTTCCCCAGATCCAGAGAAGATCAAGGCCGTGCATAACTGGCCTGTCCCGACGACGGTCACGCACGTAAGACAGTTTCTGGGATTCGCTTATTACTTTCGAAGGTTCATTAACCATTTCTCGGCCATCTCCAAACCCCTGGAGGAACTGACAAGGAAACATGTGCGCTTCGAGTGGAATCAGACTCGACAGGAGGCATTTGAGCGATTGAAGTCTGCTCTGCTGGATGCACCAGTGTTGCGACTAGCAAACGTCAGTCAGGATTTCCGCGTTGAGACTGACGCAAGTGACTTTGCTGTGGCAGGAGTCTTAACGCAGCAAGCAGAGGACCAGTCCTGGCATCCTGTGGCTTACGTGAGCCGACAACTGTCTTCTGCCGAACGGAATTACACGGCCGCCGAGCGAGAAACTTTGGCTGTAGTGTACGCCCTGCAGTGCTGGCGAGTCTACCTATTTCGCCACTTTCAACTCTACACCGACAACATGGGAGTGGTCTACCTCAGGACCAAACCAAACTTAACCAAGAGAAAGGCTCGATGGATTGAATTCCTGGCCGACTATGACTACACGGTACATCACAAGCCAGGGAAGTGTAACATAGCAGACCCGTTGTCACGTCGACCAGACTTGGAACTGAATGGAATCGAGTTCTCTCTGGATGTGAATCAAGGAATTGCGAATCAGATCTCAGCAGGGTATGATAGTGACCCAGAGCTTTCGCCAGTAATCAAGCGCTTGATGGCTTGCAGCGAAGACGCCATGCATGAGCGGTACGTCTGGAACAGTGTGGACCGGCGGCTGTACCTAGTAACATCGGGCGATGCTCGCCTCTGCATTCCTCGCGGTCCGGTACGGCTGCAACTGCTCAAACAGAATCATGATTGCCTGACGGCCGGCCATCCGGGGAGAGACAGGACCTACCTGAAGCTGAGCAGATACTTCTATTGGCCAGGCACGAGAAGTACTGTGAAGGACTTCGTTAAATCTTGCGACTGGTGCCAACGCGTAAAGGGTAGCCAGACCAAGGCAGGACTGTTGCAGTCCCTTCCAGTCCCCGAACAGCCCTGGACAGACATCAGCATGGATTTCATCATGGCACTGCCGCTGACCTGCCGAGGACATAGCGCCATTCTAACCTTTGTGGACCGTCTGACGAAGTATGTGCACCTGATCCCGACGACTGTTCATGTTGACTCTAAGGAGGCAGCCCGGTTGTACGTGGATCATGTGTTTGCTGCCCATGGCTTGAGCAAAACGATAGTTTGTGATCGAGATCCGCGATTCACGTCGGCGTTCTTCAAGGAGGTTTTCAGTATTCTTGGCGTTGAGCTAAAAATGAGCACGGCCAACCACCCGCAGACCGATGGCATGACTGAGCGTGTGAACCGTGTCATTGAGGATACACTAAAAGCTCTCGTCAACCATAGGCAAAACAATTGGGATGAACTCCTATCGCTATGTGAGTTTGCGATCCACAATGCCGATCAAGCGTCAACAGGTAACACGCCATTTTTCCTCAACCATGGATGCCATCCAGTTACTCCCTCGAGCTTATTGACGAAGCAGAAAGCTGGAGCTGGCATGGACACGAATGGTCCCCTGTCATGGCTGGATGGCCGCGTAGAGGCACTACGTGAGGCACAGGATGCCATCGTGGCGGCGCAGGCCCGGCAATCATTGTATGCGGATCGAGGACGGGTGGAGGACGCCCTGAAGGAGGGGGATGAGGTGTTGGTCTTCAGGGACTTCCTGCTGACGCCCGAGGAACGAGACAGGCCTTCACACAAATTAAGGCTCAAGTGGTATGGGCCGTTCAAGGTGCAGAAGAAAGTGGCCCCGAATGCGTACAGATTAGCTCTTCCAAGAATCATTCGGGCCCATCCAGTGTTCAATATTGCTGCCCTCAAGCTGTACCATGGCAATGAGATACCGGGCCGTACTCAGCCGGCACCTCCACCCCTAACCGATGCGGATGGCCATACGCGGTACATTGTCGAAAAGGTGTTGTCGCGCAAGAAGAGAGGACGGCGCACGCAGTACCTAGTGAAATGGAGGGGCTACCGAGATGCCACCTGGGAGCCGGAGGAATACTTGAGGGATGAAGCAGGAAACGCTATTATTCCGCTGAAAACCTACCTGGACCGTTTTTCATAAAATTGCTATTTAATTGGCAGCCACAGTGTATTGCTAGTTTCTACGTGTTGCAATAGAAATGTAGCATTCTGCATGATTAGGATAGTGCTTCCCTGCCAGCCAGGCGTTATTAGCAGAGGACATGCACTGGATCTTGAGTTCATCAGTGTTGTTTTCGGCTACCATGCATTCCACATTACCATGCATGATCATTAGTTACCATAACTGTTCCTTCGAATTGGTACTGTTCTGACAGTTGAGAGGGGGGAATGGTGTAACAGATTCACTGTTACTACTAACACTAGGAATAGGATACACTTATCACCTGCTATTATCACGCTGCTGCTGTTAGGTGTTATGTCCATCATTGCTTGTTCATGTATATAAGAATGCATTATGGCAAGGATAATTGCTTATTCCAAGAATGACTACTGAAGTTAGTTGGACTGTTACACTTCCAAAGTATGTTTTTGCTGACGCATCCTATCATCTATTTGGCAACTCACGTCCATTCTAAATACATTTCCTCCTCGTCTCCCTATTTCTTTCCAAATCTCCCTCTTCATCAGGGAGTCGTATACAGAATACGACGAATATTGTGGCCAGCTGTTTGTACGGGAGGTACCAGACAGATAAGGGAGCCAGGAAACATTGTGGCTGGTGGGTATGTACAATCCTGTAGAGTCTTTGTAGTCACAGCTACGGGACAGATACGGGACAGACACGGGATAGCTCCAGGCGTGACACAAACACACAAACAAATACCAATTAAAGCTGTGTGGACCCAGGCTAGCGCCAGACGTTACTGAAATAACGTATTCGGCATAGTTACGGGAATTAAAGCTGTGTGGACCCTGGCTAGCGCCAGACGTTGCTGAAGTAGCGTCTTCTGCATAGCTAAAGGGAATAATAACCTATGCTTCGGGGACAAGGGAGATCACCATACTACATCACAATAAATATTTTTGTAAAGTAAGTTTTACTATACTTCATTGTCCACGTACACTCCATGAAGAGGCTGAATAAGGGCCGGAAAACATTGTCGTGTTGATATCCTTTAATAGAACAGTGTGATCCAGAGAATGAGCTTACTATCACTGTAACCATTGATGGACTATAGGACTGGAGCTTCAGAGCATCTTGAACGTTATGGAATGAGTAACTAACATTACAAAGACTCGATTCACAGCTGATCTTATCATTTGAGGCCTGGCTGTTTTTTGTACGATGGACAGTGTAGGTCAAACTGCAATGACTATTTCGGCCAATCACGAAATTGATATGAGCAATCTTCATGTCACAGGGCTCCAAAGTTGTGAATGTCGTTATAAGTGGAATCTGGCCAGATATTTCTCTCCATTCTTCCGTCTCAGTCGGTTGGGTACTGTGGTACACAATCCCGTCTCTCCCGGCAACAACGCGTTCTTCACCTGAGTTAGCTCTCATTCTACACATCTTACCACCGCCGTGTGAGACTCTGATTACTGTGCTGAACATGATCAATGCTGGGCACACGAAAAAACGAATAAAGCGCATAAAGCGAATAGTAGCACATAACACCAACAAATTGTTTCAATGATCGATTTATCACATTCGAAAAATTGAGCTTACATCATTCTTCGCAGCAGCACAAACTTCAGGATCTTACAATTCCAAAGGTTGAATTTCGTGCTTTCTCTTCAGGTGATGTAAATGCATTATGCAAGAGCAAATGGGACCAAGAACATTGAGCGGAGCAGAAAGGTGAAAAACAACCCAGGAAGTGTAGTTAAAAGAAACGTGATAAATGTGCGGCCAATAAACATATAAAGAATTACACTAATGGTGCATAGGATGTCCTTTCAGAGCAGACAGCTCTTTCCTAAATGGCGCAAGTATCAAAAATGACTGTTGACACCACTGGGCCTCGACTTCTAGTGCAAGGCCCAGGAACTCGGTCTGCTGAACTGGGGTACAGTTATCGACGGCCGCGACCTGGTCAAAGTGCATTAGCTAGGAAGCGAAGTTGGCTTCCAGGCGACCCTGGGGCCTTTCGGGCTGGAAATGGTACAACCCTCTCGGTGGTTGGGCAGGAGCAAGCGGGATTTCATTTTCTTTCATTTTTAATGAAATATTTTATTTGTTTTGTTTTGCTTTTTCTTTAGGTGTTGTGTAAGGCCAGTGATAACATGTTCTCTGGTAACCCGTATAAGAGGCTTATTCAAAAAGGAGCAGGCGGAGCTGGGGCTGCGGCGGGCGCTGCGGCGGATGGCCCGGCAGGTACATTACAGTTAAGCCATCGGAGAAACGTGTGAAGTTAGAATAAAACAAAATGAATTTACCGCTGCCACCATTTTGTAAGGGGCCACAGTCTCACGCAGGCAAAATACACACGGGTGTCAGTCAACACACTGTTGTCTTTTACAGGGTGAGACTCCATAACCTTATCACATTTGACGGAACACTGATGGTACGGGACGTAAGGGCCTGTCAGGAAGGCTAGGGTGACCTGTACCATCTTGCACGATTTGTACGACACGACGTCCTGCTGTCGTTGCGTCGTTCAACAGCAAACCGCGCAAGTCACAAGGCACGGTCCGTGGCAAGGTGACTTTTGGACCTAATTTCTTGTAATTCCGGGACTTCTTTTCTATTATTACTCCTTGAATTAAGCGGAATCAAGTTCACAAAGCCAGTATGAAGACCAAAAAAAGTAGCTTCGAAAGGTGTGCCATTCAAATACTAGGTCCAGGAAATGATGACACAGTTCGTCTGTCACGATCCTGAACTATCCCTAAACACCATAAGCGGACATCAGACTTTATCTCGCTAAAATGCAACTCAAGTCATGTTAACCATTCTGCGGGTTATCATGGGAACAGCAGTGTTAGAAATGCTAACAATTTCCGAGTACGAATCGGGAGTAGTCGGCGCACGACGCCGTCTCCTGTTCACACTCAAAATGCAGCTGTTTTGTACGCTTGCGTCCCCGACTACGCCTGTCTACGGTACGAAAAGTTGGATTAATCCAACTCTTCCCTTCGCTCCCCGATCCATACGACAGAACGGTGGCGTTTCCGTTCCTGGTGTTCACATTGTACGCGGCAAGCCTGTCCCGTCGCTTCCCGTCGATCAGTACGTCGCGTCCCGTCGCGCCCCGTCGAATGTGAACTAGACTTTAACGACTATAGCCGGGGGATACGCTACATTGGGAAATGGATCAGGATGCACAGCCGAATACATAAAAGGAATGCATGGCAGCCTAAAGTGGAGGCCTTCCCTTAGGCAGTAGTCCATGCGAGCTAAGTGCAGCTGTTGTAACAAGCATGGCAATTACATTGAAAGTGATTGTAGCTGTGTGAGTCACCAGCGTTCCAACGCTACCATTTAGACGAACATCTTTCTGTGTTGAAGCAGCACCTTACAGATCGCGGCCTGCTCCTGAACTCCAACTAGAGCCAGGTCCTACCCATCCACGGCAGACGCTCACATTCTCCTCCTAGCCTGAGAATTGTCTGTGGTTCGACTGTTATTGACCCTCTCGGACGAAGTTAAGAACCCGGTACTGACTATCGACTCAACTCCAAGTTTCAGTGCGCACCTCAAAAAACTTAGGAAAGAGATGGAAAATAAACTAGGTGGTTATTTATATGGAAGGGCGAACTTTGCTGGCCAAGCCAGAAGGTAGTTCCACATGTTTCGGTTGCGGGGCGGGGGCGCTTTGCTTGCAAGGGTGCTGTATTATGGAATGCCCTCCCAGCGACATCCGTGCCATCTATCACGCTCAGCAGTTTCGCACGCAGGTAATCCCCTATACCTGTGCCCTGTAGATGCTGAAGACAAGCGAAATCTTCTGCTTTTTCTGTTCTCTTTCTGTTGTACCCGATCTCCCTCTGATGTACCGCTGACTCTACGCTGAAGATCAAAGTATTTCAATTCTCATTCTCATTATTTTCATATTCGCTTACATGTTATTGGGTTCTATGCGAATCAAAATAAATACAAACGAACAAACAACGTCATTCGTCCGGAGCAAGCTCGAGTACGCCAACAATGTCTACGTACACTGTCTCGCTGACAGCGTGAGGGATCAGCTTCTGCGCTTTAGTTACAGAGCCATTAGATGCTTAACGTTATTTAATCATGACAAAATCATGCGTTTATCATACTTGCATTTGAGGTACCATATAATTGGCTAAGTCAAAAAATATCATACTAAGACTCGGGTGGAGAGCCAATATCCTACTATTATGGATATCAGACTCGCTTCCCCAAAAAAGGCAATCATGTGAAAACATTTATGCCTTTGTTCGTGATCTCTTGGACCATTTCCCGTAAACCAAATAATACAACTTGATTTGCAGCCCAATCTCTTCTTTTATTGTTGTTGTTCTCATTTGCACTTGTTTTTCTTTCTTCTTTTTTTCCTCCTCCTTGATTGGCCTTGGCCATGAGTGTGTGCATAATAACAATAATAATACTAAGTCCATGTGTTTCGTGTTCTGTTGCATCCACAATCTCTGCAGTTCACTCCGCTCGGACCTAGTCGACATTCGTGGTTTGTGTTTTTCTTTACTTGAATTCGCTAAAACCAAACGGACAGAACTGTCCAGTGACAAGGGAGTGAATGATGAGTGTCATAGTCACTATGCATCAAAAGTTCAACACATCTCAGGGCTAAATGAGACAGACTATATTAAAGGAGGGCTTGCACAACACCTGTACATAAAGGGGAGTAAGAGAACAAAGGCGCGGCAGAAGTCGAAGTAAGAAAGCAATCAACGCCAGAGATGTCCTTGTCCACCAAAAACAGAGAGAGAGCGAAAGAGATCCGAGAGAGAGATAGAGAGCGAGAGAGAGAGAGAGAGCGAGCGAGCGAGAGAGAGCGAGAGAGAGACAGAGAGAGACAGAGAGAGAAAGAGAAAGAGAGAGAGAGCGAGCGAGCGAGCGAGAGAGAGATATAGAGAGAGAAAGAGACAGAGAGACAGAGAGACAGAGAGACAGAGAGACAGAGACAGAGACAGAGAGAGAGAGAGAGAGAGAGAGAGAGAGAGAGAGAGAGAGAGAGAGAGAGAGAGAGAGAGAGAGAGAGAGAGAGAGAGAGAGAGGTCTCATCACTTGTCACTCCATTCAAAGTGTACCTTACTGTCATCTAAATCGATTATTAGAACAGTACAATGAACATTGTTGCAGAGTTGAAGAAAGGTCGTTCACAGGCTTACCTAAGTGCATAAACTTGTTGCAGCTGAGATGCACCTGACACATTTTCGCTGAGCCGGACAGTTGATCAGGTGCTCTTTGCACGAGCCGAATCGTCCGCGTCGCAAAGTTCAATAATGCCCGATGCACGTGAATACGCCCCAACCAAACTGTCAAGAGAGCTCTCTATAATTATAGTAAAACATAAACGAGACACTCGCTCAAGGCTAGCCACCGATATGCCCGACGCAAATGTCCTGGATCGACCTAGAAAGCACTCGCTATTTGAGCACATTAAACTCAGGCAATGATTCTGTCCGACATCAGAGCGATGGTGCTTGCAGAATGGAAATTCTGCAGGCAACTCACAGTCGGATTACTGGGGAATAATTCAATCCACATGTCAGGGCATGCTCTAGAGAACGGCACCAAACAGGCGATACCAGTATCTTGATGCGCTTCTGAGATGCACAGAAAATCTCATCATGTGCCGTTCATGCATCACGACATTCTCTGCTTAGAGAATGCTAGAAAATAAGCTATGCGCTTCACTAAAATAGAATGAATGGCACACAGAAAACGCACTGGATGTGTAGCATGCTAGTGGTTCCTCAGCACCGGGAAACACTGCTATTCGAACATATGGTCGATGTTTCCGTGTATGCCACACATCCGAATTTGTCACCAAAATCTGTGTTGACCAATGAAAGAAATGTTGCACCCTAGGCAAAGGCAGCAGGTTAGCACAGGAGAGTATATTGGTGTTGTTCAAAGAAGATACATGTTAGCACACACGTATGTTTTGTTGGGCTACGGTTGTAAATCGTTGCCTGCAGCTATATGGTCTGCTGGTGTGTTTCAATCTTGCGTGAGACATCCGTTCATGTGATACTCGAGTTGAATCAATAATAAGATTAATAGCGGTACCAATCGGCTGCCCGATAATGCAAACATCTCTTCTCCTCTCCTCTTCCATGCGCTCTGAGCCAACACATAGCTACCTTCATTATCCATTGCACACACACAGACCAATACTTTGAAACATCGAAGGGGTTGCGGGTATATCAATACAGTATTGCTACTGATAATTGACAATTACAATATCCTATTCAGTATCACCTTCCCTGACGAGCCTTTAGTAGGCAAACCAGCTGGCAGAAGAAATATTATAAATACTTGACGTACAAATAATATCTTCCTTGTTTCCAATTATTGTTGTGTGTGTAATGGCTACTGAGGGTAGTCGTGCGTTGGCTGAGAGGGTGCGGAAGACGGAAGAGGTTTCAATAGAGTTACAGTTGAAAAATGTCCAGCCTAGAAATCTGGA